ATGTTGAAGCACTTATTTTAACTGATATTATACACATTAATTATACTCTTATGTATGTAGATAGGATAATAAATGTGCAGAATTTGACAGTTTAATGGTGGAGGTATACACACATATTGATAGATGTCTTGTAATGCACTGTTGAGGAACCTGTGACCCAAGTTTTTCATTCATTGCATAACTACACTGTAGTTGTGTATATATGTCAATACATCTTGAAATCTTGAAAGGGATGTGCAAAATAGCCATTATATACAGTTTTTAATTAACTATTAGTAGAGAATAACGAGTAATGAATATACTTTATAAAGATCTGCAGATAAATGTTTAGTCTTCTCAAGCACCAACTATCAAATATCGCGCCTGATTGTTGGCACTTGACAATCACCTTCCCTGAATTTGACTCAGATGTAACTAAAGTCCGATTTATGGGTTGTTTATATTTCACATCATTAATCAAAATCTGCAAAGTAACTAAAATAAATGTAGTAGAGTAAAAATACCAGGTTAACCTCTGAATTGTAGTGGAGTAGAATTACAAAGTAACAATGAGCTGTCATGTGGGTATATATTAATGCTGCCCATTATGGATACAAGCGATTTTCACCCATTTAGTAATTACATGTTTTAAATGTGATAACACCAATGTGTTTCCCATCCCCTGAACCTCCAGGGCTGTACACAGTTTAATACTATCAACTTCCAATTTTGGGAAAAACGAAAACGTCTTTTAAAACTACAATTCCCAGTAGAGACGTGCCATAGAGAATATGTTGCGAAACACAATAGCCAGCATGTGTAGTTCTGGGGGGGCGTTCGAGTCCAGTTTTGAATAGTCTGCCGTGGTTTCGTTCCATTTCAAAGAGCTTGACGCTCGGCGTAACCTTGGCGCACTGCCACTCCAACATCCAATCCCAGAGCTTGAAGATTAATCACGGGGTTTGTCGCAAAGCGGACAGGCGTCGTCACAACAATAGCTGGGGATTGTGGGTAGTGTTCTCTTTGGCGCTCCACATTTCAGAGAAAACAAGTTGTTTCTCAGAATTGAAGGGGAAAAACACAAACGCATTGTACACAATTTAAACCTATCAAAGCCGTTTAAAAAGGGTAAAAGGTAATCTGGTGTTTTTTAGTTGAGTAGTGCAGATGGTGGCCGGCAGGTGCATACGCTAAACAATGGCCAAAAACACACACATAAGCAGGAAACACCTGCATATAATGAAATGAAAAACAAACAAACCCTGAAAACAAATACAACAGAAAAACGCTGCAAATACCAAAACGATATGCAAAGTCCAAAGCAGGTACAAATCCCAAAACACATACAAAAAAACAACATTCCGGAAGTGCTCCAGGCCTCTAGGGGGAGTCTACGTGGAACAGATTGATGTCTGACCAGACATAGAGAGAACGAACAAGAGTGATGGAAATCGGGAGGAAAGAAAGTTAATTTAAGTGGAGAAAGATATAAGAAGGTCAGTTTTGTTTTGTTTTTATACATAGAGCGTCATATTTATATAGCTAGCGTTAGCGTGCCTAACTACTACACCAGCTGAGTAGAGGACAGCTTCACGTGAAGAGAAGATAAAGTGAGGGAAGAACATTGTTAAAAGAGATGACAAATCAAGTGCAGGCAAATAACACGGGCCATAGTGAGTACCGTGGAAAAAGGACATTTGAATTCTTAGCAGTTTGTTTATATGTATGTATTTGTGTATAGATGTTGCAACTATACAGAGCTTTAGCAATTGCCTGTAACTATGGTCATGCTAATAAAGCTATTGAATTGAATTGAGAGAGAGAGAAGTGACAACATGTGAAGAGGGACAAAGTAATGACAGGATAGTAGTGTGCATTATAACAAATATAGAGAAGACATTCAAGGAGAGAGAGAGAGAGAGAGAGAGACAAAACACAGATTCAACGGTAAACATGATGTATCTTTCTATTTATTTAGCTAACCACTATTTAGACTATGTGTTTTTGATTGACTTGATTAAATGGATTTACTACATCAGGTTATGCCTTTTCAGGCTGCCATGTTTTGTCCTTTCTGTGGCCAACATCTGGGGACAGTTCAAGTGTTCTGTGGCTCCTGTGGCAAACATGTACAGTTTTTGGCAGAAGTTGAACACAACAGTAAGTTCACTTTTTTTATTGTATCTGTTTCAAATGCAAGAAATAAGGATTCAACACTACTCTGTTTAGAATACTAATTGGCAGATGTATAGTTATCAGCATGGACACATTTTTTCATTGTCTGTTTATGTGAAATATGTAGAAGCCATCATTAAATTGTAGACCAATGCATTAAATACACAAAGCAGCTTATATTATACATTCATAATTGTGTATTAGTTATATCTTTATAGAGAACATTATACATTTAGAATCAGATTTTGAGACAGTGAGCCATGACATGATGTTTTCTTCTTTTTCTCCTTGTGTTTTTTTTTTTTTTACAATCAGCATCTGACAGAGAAGAGGACCTCATTCGGAAATACTTTCATGATGGCTTCAGCTATGATGACATTTGGGATTTTCTGGAAACTACCCACAATGTAAAAATGAGTCTGCGTACTTTAAAGAGTAAATTAAAAAGTATTTCATTATCAAGGAAAAAAAACGACTCCCCTCTGGCTAATGTTCGTGCTGCCATTCAAGAGGAGCTAAATGGACCTGGCCAGCATTACGGTTACCGCTCGATGTGTCAGACATTGCGGCAAAAGCACTCCCTTACTGTAAAAAGGGATGATGTCATGAACTTGATGAGAGAGCTTGATCCCTCTGGAGTTCAACTTCGCAGTAATAGAAGATTTGTACGAAGAACATACAGCTCTGAAGGACCCAACCACGTCTGGCATGTTGATGGCTATGATAAGCTAAAGCCCTATGGTTTGGCCATCAGCGGATGTATTGATGGCTACTCCAGAAAAGTATTGTGGTTGAAGTGTGGAGCAACAAACAATGACCCTGGGGTCATTGCTCAAAATTACATACGTTGTGTTACAGAGCATGGAGTCATACCTATGAGGCTGCGGCACTGAAAACGGCACAATGGCAGCCATCCAGTGTGCTTTAAGATCAAGACACACTGACCATTTTGCTGGGGCTGCCAGTCACATGTATGGCTCTTCAACAGCAAATCAAAGAATTGAAAGCTGGTGGTCGTACTTCGGAAAACAGGTGTGGTGCTTCTTTCTTTTTTTTTTTACATCCTTGACAATGAACATAGTATATCTTTAAAAAGTAATGTAATTATATTTTCAGTGTATTAGTTCCGATCTCCTACAATAATTGTTTTACAACTAAACTGCACCACAGGCACAGCCAAAACATGGTATGCCTAGTGTGGTTGCTGATTTCCTTTTAATTTAATTGATCGGAATCATCAGTTAAAACACAGATTACCCCTTTATCTCTGTTCCTTAATACAGTTCTTATAAATATGACTATTTGATACCACAGGTTTACTGTTATTTGTTATATTTATTTTGAATCCCTTTACATGGAAATCATCAATGTATAAAAAAAAGCTCTCATTTGAATCTGTTTATTCAGGTCTCAATTTTGGATGGATCTCATGAATGACCTGAGAGAAAAACATCACTTCAGTAGCAGTCATGCGCACACATGCCTAGTGCGGTTTGTCTTCATGGGTGTGCTACAGAGGGACCTTGACGAATGCAGGGAAAAGTGGAACACGCATATTATCAGACCTGTAAACCAGTCTCGTTGTCCATCCGGGAAACCAGATGTCATGTACAACCTGCCACACAGGTTTGTTTCTATCAATTAAACATATTTCTCAATTTTGTTCAGATTTATTTTTAGTAACTGCCTAAAATTCTAAGAAAAAATTAGTTGCCCCAAAGTACATTTTTCACTATAAATTAAGATTGTGTCATAATCTGTTCACCTCAGTCAGTCAGTTATTACTCAAATAATGTATACTATTAAGTGACAGTAACTTTTTTAATTTTCAAAGAAGTTCAACAAAACAACATTTCAAGAACAATTTTGTACATGTGAATAATAAACTGTTGAACATATTGCACATCCAGGTACGGTGGAACCAAAGGTTGCGCTAGACTTTTTCGCTGCCCGTCAATTTGACGGACAGGATCGTAAAACTTCCGTCAAAACACAGAATTACCCGTCGGCCTTTACACAACTCTGACGAGAGGGGGGGGGGGGGGGAAGAGAGAAGCATGCTCGTGAACTGTCAACTGGGGGGGGGGGGGGGACAGTTCACAAATGCGCCGTGTTATGCATGGCTGCTGCACCTCACGGGAGCATGCACAGCATACAGCCAAAACAGACATTTCAATGATTTGTACGGCACAGTTAGGTTTGGAAACGGTATGATTTCCTTTTTGGAGGGCATGCATAACACGGCATAACACCCATAAGCAGCCTCGCTGCGGGGAAACTTTGGCGCTGTTTCCGAGTTTGTTCTAATTTGTCAAAATGACGGACTGCTTTCAGATTTGTCCGTCATTGTTAAAAGAAATCCGTCATAGACGGGAAATATTCGGTTAACGCGACCTCTGAGTGGAACTGACTGTGGGTTCCCAGTCCCACAAGACGACTTGGGCCAGTTTGTTCTGGACTCGACCAACAGTCTATGTGGAGGAACCACATAGACCACTTCCAGGAACACTTTGAGAACCTTCAAAGAACGAGTGGTCTAATGCAACTCTTGACCTGGGAGTCTTGTGTTGCGAACTATATAAATATGAAGAACATGGCTAATTTGTCAATTGTAAGCCCAGCTTTCAATAAAGTCCAAAACCAGGCGAATTTTGGATTCCAAAGTCCATGTTGCTTTCAAACTGTTCGTAGGTGCTTGACATTGGTATTTCTATTGTGTTTGAGCAGGTTCTGCCGATTGGAAAGCGAGATGTCCGGTGAAAAACCAATTGGGGTTTCGGCTGGATTCCAGACGGTGGAAGGGTGTTTAATCCTGTTGAGAACATCAGGATGTCACTGAGGAGGAGTCCTGTTCGTTTTTCTGAGAAGAAAAAGTAGTATTACGGATTTTTTTTTTTTTTTTAAATATCAAGATTGATAGAACTGCCATTAATAGCTAATTATTTTAAGATGTGAACAATGTTGGAACTCAAATAAACCTTTTTCAAGGAGATAGTCTCTCCAAAATCCCAGCACCCTTGTTTCCTCATGGCGTCTTGTGCTTCCTTTTTCGCTGCTGTTCTGAACCTCAAAGACTTCCTCCAATGTGGCAGAAGTCAGCTCTACCACACTTGAGCACATAAAAGCTCTGAAAACACTTCCATGCTGCTCCAAAGCATGAATCACATCCAAGGCTTCAAGTCCGTCTTTGAATCTAGGAAACATTAGACACAAAGACCCATCAATCTACTATCACCTATCGCCAGGTTAGTAACAATATCTGAGAAAAGTATTAGAACCAATTTTAGATCTACTTCATTTTTTAATGACCTCTGGGTTTTACATGCAGTAAAGTAAATCAATCAATAATCTTTACATATTTCTGTTTCATATTTTACTTTTTGACCAAGACCAATAACATATATTAAATAAAGTCAGAATAACTTCTGTGAAAGTAACTAAACTGATAATAAAATGATCTCCAAATGCAGGATTGTCCAGTGAATCGATAGATGCAACTCCACCCTTGTAAACCCTCAATCGCCTTGGTATCACAATTGGTCATAGAACGCTTGATTTAGGCTTTTCTTATCTTTAAATGTGTGTTCCGAGCTTCAATACACGTTAAACTGCTTTTAATAATTTTAATGATGTTTTAAATGCAATTTTTGTATTTTCTGAAAGTGTAAAGCACTTGGAATTGCTTTGTGTCTGAATGGTTCTAATATAAATTATAACCTTGCTTTAACATCAAAATGGTGATGTGTTCGACTCGATAACAATTAAAATATATTGAACTTAGGTTAAATAGTGCAGAAACATTACCTTTGTATGGCAAAATGGTTGCGGTAAATGATGTACCACTGCATGAAATCCTTTATGATTGCGTTTTTGCCATCCACACCATCAGGGTACTGCAAGCAACCTGCAGTCTGCAACAAGCTGGAATTTCTGTCGATTGATGCATGTAGTTCCTCCAATGTAGCTGCGCTGGATATCTAGGGTAGAAAACAATCATAATCCATAAACATAAATCAATATGCTGTCAAACTCGCATATGAAGGAAGACAGGTAATTTATCAAATTAAAAATATATATTCTCAATAATTGTAACATCTTCTTTCCCTCCTATGGTGTTCGGTTTAAATCTGACTGATGTACTACTCTCATTAAATAGTATCATAAATGTAAGTGTCCTTTGGTTTCTTGAAAGGTAAATAAATCCAAGTTATTATTCTTCTTCTTATTAAACATTGTGTTTTACACTTAATTACCCCAATCATTTTTGACCAGCTGCAGAGGGGAGCAAGAATTATAAATGATACCTAATGTAAAGAGTTGCATTAATCAAAGTGGCAAGATATTAAAGCGTATATAACTATATCCATGTCATGAAAGGAGGAATACATTTGTAATATTGTTCTAAGATGACAACTTGTTCTTACTAGTGTACATTTGTTTTCATTAATGATATTTGTAATGACAGTTAGGTATGATAAATAAATACTGCATCATTTCTAATGGTTTGCCATAACAGCTAGCTAAGGTTGTTCGTTATGGTTCCAAAAGAGGCTATAAAAGCCCAATAACAAACTATCGAAGGCCGGACAATATAAAAACCAAATTCTTCACAGGTTATAAGGGAGACAACTTCATGTTGTATGTTGGGCTGTGATAGTAAAACAACAAATGTTTGCCCTAATATGCCAGCCTACCTCAAGCAGGGAAGCTCTCATAGTGTCATCAGTAATGTCTTCAATGATGGCTTCAATGTTGGTGTTTTTCATTCCAGTGAGGTGCTGGTAGAGCGTCTCTGACAGGAAGCGGGGGCCTGGACCACCATGAACTATAGAAGTTGCAATCATCCTCCCAGCATGAAAGTATTCGTCATCTTTTGCAGCTGTTGATATTTTTTGTCAAATTATTATCACGTTAACCAACAGTTGCCACGTTATCATAAAGATATACAGTATAAGATAATTTAATTGTCACGTAAATCCAGCTGCAAAATCCATAAGCAGCTCCTATATTTACAGTACAGTATTGAACATAAGACAGATTTGCGAACATCATTACCTGCATTGTCGAACGTGAGGAATTTCCTGTCCTGTGGACCATCAAATATTCTTCTCATTCTCAGGCATTCCATAAGGAGGGTCATTAGCACACAAAGGTATTTATTGATTTCATGTTCACAAATTCAAACCTACATGGTATAATTACATTTTTAATTAGTCTTACCCGATCAGACGCTGGTTGTGGGTGCCTGAGAGATCTGATAAAGGTAAACAAAAAACTGTTAAAATATTCTGCTTCTTGTGGCACAAAATAACATGTTGACAATGTTTTATTTTACCCTGGCAAACTGTTGTCCATTCTGGGAGTGCTCTGTTCATTTGGAAAGTCCCACACCTGTATATAACACACAAATGACTGACTGAAATAAAATTAACTTAATTAAGAATAAATGCCACGATAGATCCAAACTGACCACGGTGTCAGCAAGACTGTCTCCAGATGGCAACTTTAAAACAACCACACTGTCCTCGTCACTTGAAGAGGTTGTTCCAGTGTAACCTAAGAAAATAAAAGTGTCATGATTAATACTATAAAAATAATTGTTCCCCTACGTCTGTACCTATCATCAAATGTTGGTTTGAATCCTGAATTATTGGATTGACATCAATCAGAAAGGATTCAATCGAAACACAAAATGTTTATTGAAATGTACATTATATTGTTGACCGTCCTTTTCACTCTCACATTAGGATTTACATTGGGGCACAACAAACCAACATTGTTGTGAGAAAAAAGGTTAATTTAGAATTACAATCCTTAAGAGGGGATTTATAGTTAGTTTGAACCATAGGGTTTGAACAGAAGGAAAGTTTGGAAGCTTTTGTTGATACTTAAATTCCATTTCTTCTGCCACTATTCATAAAAGACCATTTGACCTCATAAGTTCAACCACGAAGAGAAAGGAATGATGGGTGCAATGAATTGTGTTAAGAAATATAGACAGAACAACTGTTATGTTTACATTTGAACTATTATACAGTTTAGTGCTTTAAACAAGGGGGAATATATGTCAGAAGCACTTACAACTGTTTTCAACGGCTTCAAGAGTACAGATGTACAACGTAATTCGTTGGTAGGGCTTTCCAATGGCCTCTTTGTACATCTGTACTGTGAAAGGGGTGTCCGTTCCGGGGATATTTGTTATCAGGGTACAACAAGACATGGGCACCATCTTCCAAGTCCTGGTTAAAGGCTTTCTGCTTTTTTATGGCAGCAGCCAACAGTTCTTCACATGCCCATTGAGGTTCAACATGAAGGGGAAGTGACCTCCCTCTCACGGGTTTAAGGCAGCCATCCATCCTCCTCATTACTCCAACAGAAATCTGCAAAAAGACAATAACATGCAAATGAATAAAACATTTTTTCGGACATTATATGAGAGTGTGGTGAGCAGATTTGAATTACAGATGTATTCATAATAGAAAACGTTCCATACCTTCACCAATTTGTTTCTTTTCATTTTTGGAGTTATGCCGTCCCTTTGTATTTTTTATTTCCCTATATTTTTGAAAGGACTCTACAGCTGAGCTTCCTGCTACAAAAAAACAGGAATAAAACATTCATTACTCTTCATTATGTTCAATAGGAGTCTCATCCTCAATCCCTTCTGAGGAACATCTTATAACACATTCAACAGTAGGTAAGCCACATAGTTTAGAGATGTATTTGTATAATAACAGAATTCCAACTTTTAAACCAAGTTTTCTATAAATACTTATTGTTTGGTAATAAAACAAACAACCTATTTACCTGCACTGGTGCTAGGCTGTGCACTTAGATGCGCACTAGTGGTGGGCATCTCCTCAGGGACTTTGTTAGCCACATCTTTTAGAAATGTGATGTCTCTGCCACAGACACCACAAAAGCCATGCGAAGATGTCACGCTGGCACCACAGAATGGACAGTACATCTGTGGAGAAATAAAATGTAGGACAGCTAGGTTAAGTCAAAAAGAGTGGATATTTTTCGGCTACCTAAATATTATAATAGTATTAAAGAACGGTCTTTCAATTAACTCATCAGAAGCCAACCTCCTGTCTATCCCCACACAAACCAAGCACCGAACCTGGGGGGACAGAGCTTTCTCCATCGCTGCCCCCTCCCTCTGGAACTCACTCCCATTAAACATCAGAGACTGCACCGACCCCCCACCTTCAAAACACAGCTCTTCAGACTGGCTTTTAATGTGGGAATAATGTTGTGTTGCTGTTTTAATATTTTAATTCAACTTTTTACATTTTATTTGATTTCCTTTTTATCACCGCATCGCATTTGCGGCTCAGTTGAGGCCCCCTCCACGAGGTGAGGGCGTGAGACCCCACCCAGTCTGTTTGATCTGCGTGTAGGGAGGGGCGTCCCGGTTCTATACTATACATCTATATGTCAAGAGTTACATTTAGGTGCACAATGGCTCTTGCAAGCTCTTTGATCAAACACGCTAACGCTAGCTACGTAAATATGACGCTCTATGTATAAAAACAAAACAAAACTTACCTTCTTATATCTTTCTCCACTTAAATGAACTTTCTTTCCTCTTGTTCGTTCTCTCTATGTCTGGTCATACATCAATCTGTTCCACGTAGCAAGCCCCCTAGAGGCCTGGAGCACTTCCGGAATGTTTTTTTTTTGTAATGTGTTTTTCGGTTGTATATGTGCTTTTGACTTTGCATATCGTTTTGGTATTTGCAGCGTTTTTTTGTCGCGTTTGTTTTCGGGGTTTGTGTGTTTTTCATTTCATTATTTGCAGGTGTTTCCTGCTTATGTGTGTGTTTTTGGCCGTTGTTTAGCGTTTGCACCTGCCGGCCACCGTAGTTATCACTGTCAAATCAATCGACAGTAAGGAGAATACTTACTTCCGGGTGTAAAATCCTCCGTTATCCAATGGGAATGGACGCTCACATTTCCTTTAAGAGTGTTACGGTGTGTGAAGCAGGTAGGACCCAAATGCAGATTAACGTGAAAATTCCTTTATTTCAAGGCTATACTAACAAAGACAGAACACAACACTCACCGAGGACAAGCCAAATCACAAGACGAACCAACACTGAACACAGGAAGAGACAAGACTAACTACAGGGAGGGGTAATCACAAGACGAGAAACAGCCGGGCAGGGGAGGAGAAACACAAGGGCCACAGGTGAACACAATCAGACAACTAGACACACCAGGGAAACTAACAACGGGAGGAAAAACACAGGAAGAAGGACCAGACAATATACCCAGAGGAAAACATGACAGGGAGAACAGCAAAACACCCAAAACAAGACATACAAAACGTGACATAACACAATAATCGTAACAAAGAGCTGCCGACATAAACGGATGCGGTGCTTCCCTGAGCGTCAAATACCGCCGCCGATGGGAATACATATGAAGCTGAAGGAGCCTCGGCGCGTCACAACTGCACGCCAAAGGACCCTGACCAAGCATCGCTCCTGGACGTTTAGGGAGTGAGAGTGTGTTGGTGCAAACGGCCCAAAGCACCTCCATTAGGGGAAATCATGATGCAAATATAAAAACACAAATGTGACAAAACACATGCAAATGACGAAACATCTTCAAAACCTTTTGACAACACTTGTGCATCTTTTAGTAAACATTCGTCAAATTGACAAACATGTGCAGGGTTTATTAAAAGCGGCACATAAACAACACACTGCAAATAAAACAAATGCTGCAATAATTGTGTTTTGTTTATGCAGCAATTAAAGTAAACGCTGCACATGATTCATCAAGTTGTTGAAGATTATTTTTCATTTGTATGTGTTTTGGCACTATGGTGTTTTTATGTTTCCATCATTTCTATAAGTGCAACGCGTTTCTCCAAATGGAAATGTTTTGGGACGTTGTACTACGTTTGCCCTTGTTGACCATCTTAGAATACAATGTCAATTATCCAACAACAATTTGCATTTAGAAAATGTACTTTGCACTTCACACCCAAAACATTTCCCTTGCCTTAAGCTGTTTTTACGGGCTTATGTGAGTACATATTGTCACTCTCTTTTAAAAATGCAATGTAAACATATGCCATCACATCTATTTCTCACCCACTCCATCATCTGACCCTGTTTGCATTTGAAAGGCAACTAGCCACATAAAAGAGTGCATATACACATTTGCATACAATATCTAAAAACGACTGACTCAAAACTGTAGCTGGGTCATTATACAAAATACACACAGGCCTTCATCCAGGAATCAGTCACATCTCCACTGTCGGCATTACCAAGAACGAACTGGCAATGTATAATGCATTTTATCTGTAACCGTAGCATATGCCCTCCAGGCCTGAAATGTTAACTTTATACCATGTTCAATAAAACACTAAGGCTGCAACTTAAACAAAGTACCAACTGAACCAAATCCTCTGTGAACTAAAACCAACTGCACAAAAAATTACATTTTCCAAAAGTACAAAATCTTTGACAACTTGAGACCATTTTCTTAACAAACTTTTTGTTCCGCCTGCTATCCTTCAACATCAGATCTGCCTCGTCCTTTTAAAGGTCTCAAAAGCACATACCTCCATGAGCTCTTTCTTGTTCCAGATCACTGCTTACAGTAATTGGACACAACTGGAAAAGGCTTTGAGCTGGAACCGTTTTCATCTCTGTGACTCACTTACACACTTTGTTGGAGATACTTGCTGTTACTTCCTAAGCCAATGATAACTATGACAAGCCATTCTGTTTCTATGTTCAATTGTCCTTTTTTCTAGCAATCTTACCTGTCATCTTATCACTCGTGTCTGTTGCTGTGGAGATCCCACATTACCAAATTGCTTATTTTCACCATTGTAACTTAAAGGGGACCTATCATGCAAAATGCACCTTTGGAAAATATTTAGTGTAATTTATACAAAATACAAGTACATTTCGTTTTTTTTTTATGGGTTCAAAGAACCGTTCATTTTAACAATAAAGTTCAGAGTTGATATCAAATGTGTCGTGATTATTCATGTTTGGATGGGTAAAGAATATTCTGATTTCAAAAGCATAAGGTTGTGTGTGGACTTTTTTTGTCATACACATGGGTGTGTTATGCCATTGCTGTGTAATAATATATATATATATAATAGTACATGTACAATGAAAGATTGCATAAAGCCATATACACCAGTATTTATTTCCATGAACAATATTAGCATTCGTTTTACAATTTCAGTCAAAAGAAACAAACCACTCACTGCTCTATTTGCCTCAACTGTAGTCCACCATGTTCAGCTCTGTAAATATTCAATGCATTCTGCAGGGAGAACACATTCAGGCACACAGGCTCCAATCCAGGATGGTCCACCATACAGGTTATAGAGTCCTCAAGTTCCTGCATCCGTCTTGACACCTAGTGTGATAAAGATATATTGAATGACATGTTAAAAATGTATTCTCTAAACAGACAACTTAGTGAAGCTATCAAAAATGTTACCTGTGGTATCGCCATGCAGCACACATTCTCCGTTCAGAAGGCATCGTGGCGCAATTTGCACATGTACACCTGTAGAAAGAAGTCAATAACTGAGCTTTTAAAAACACATGAAACTACACACACTGCTGACAACTGAGGTGTTGTTGGAGTTATACTTTGTATCACCCTAAGTTATTGAACTTTCCAACGGTTGTTGCACGATGTTGGAAGAAAAGGGCTGTAAACTATTAATAAACGCAATGAGGCCATTGTATATATGCTGAAAATATGAATGTCTCCCTTTATAAATATATATATGTATCGCTGTTTTTGCGTTACAAGCTCTAAGTTATAAACTGTACACATAGCATTCTTGCTAATTAGCCAAAATATGAACGGAATAAGTAGCAAGCATCGTAACGGAGTAAAATAAATAGGAACAACAGCTTGTCAACTAACCATTCAGAAACGTCCTGCTGCAACCGAGATGTTTCCACCTCCACCAAAACCTCCGCTGCTTCAGGGTCAGTCTCTGGATCAAATTGATAATACGCTTGAACACATGCATTGCTCTGAGATGACATGTTTATTCCACACTCGTAATCACAGCAAGCATGTTAACGTGACTCTCACCGGCTCATGCCCCCCTCTTCTGCAGGGGGCGTGGTCAGCTGCTGCTCAGAATTTTCAAAGACAGGCTTGGAAAAGAGCGAAAATGAGCGAAACGAGGCATGGCTAAAAAATGATCTGTTTGGTATTTTGAAAAATAAAATGTATAAATATACCTTATATAGGTATGGTCATACACTATATCATTTAAATATAGCATGATAGGTCTCCTTTAACTCATGTGTTGTAAACACAGATTTTCTGTTGATTTGGTGATGCTTTAACTGTCCTCTCTCTTTTACTTTCAGAATATATTTTTGAGCCATTCTGCATATTATGGTTGTAAATCCTAATTTCTATATAGTATTCCTCATAACTAGTAACATATGGTAGTCTGAGCAAGGTTACCACGCAAAAGTGCCCCCCAAAGACTGTAGAAAAAATTATGTATATTTACATACATCTGGACTAGTATCACACGTCATTTTGGTGCATTGTGCTGTTTTGGCTTGTAACTTCTTCAGCAAAGGCAGTATCTATTTGAGAACTCTGTTCACAGTATTAAATGTGTACAGTTGAACCAAAAGTAGATTTCTACTCCTCAGACAGTTTCATTTGAATAATGTTTTGAACCCGGAGAGATAGAGCTATCTGGTACTTCACAGACAGAACAAACCTCAGAGACACTGCACATGCTGTAGTAATAATTCAATTCACATCTTTATGCAACTATTTCCTTTGACATTTGTATCTATACAATTAAAAACGTAACAGTCTTATTTGATTTATTGTATTTTTTTAGGCAAGTATAATGGTTTTTGCACCATATATTTGAATATAGGAGCTTAGTTCTAATTTGACTGTAGACACAAGACACCATCAAATACTAAATGAGAGGAGATTTTTCCATACTAAGTCTTCAAAATGCATTAACCTTCAAGTCAGCAATTATAGAAGAAGGCAGGATTTTAGCCATAATATTTCATGGTGATATCTCCCATTACAGAATATAGTTACAGAGCTGTTATACTCTGATGCCAGCGCTGTAAAAATACTGGTGATGATGAGCAAATGGACAATTCCCTTGGGAAAGTTTGATTGCTCTGGAGGTCACAATGCAACAGCTCAGTGGTAGAATGTATAGTGTTCCTTAGCGGTCTGATGTGTCAGATGTGTCAGCCTTACTCTGAAAGGCTGCAATCACAAGTTACATCCTGAACTTGCTCAGTAATGGTTCCCCATTGTTAAGGATTTTAAACGATATTGGATTCCTGTTGCTGATTATCAGACTGAAACTGATTAATTGCTCTATTCACTGGAGCTTTCCAGTGAATACGAGGACATTGTTCATCCATACAGTACATAGCCTGTTCCAGAGAGATCCACCACTCCAGATTGATCTGTGTGATGGAGCTGCCACACTGGCTTATGTTCCAGATAGGAAGTAACAAAATGTATGAAGATATTTTTGTACATGTGGTCTTAGTATTGTAGATAACATAGTTTGACTTTCACAACCAAAGCAGCATTTATTAGTTTGATACTGGGAAAACGTTCAACTACCATGCTATGACAGTTAGCTTTGTAATGGTTGCCTGGGACAGTCTGGGCCCACAAAGTCAGCTCCTGGCTATCTGAGGGTTGCACTTGATTATTATTACAGACAGTTGGGGCTAGGATGTTGTTTATTGACTTTTTTAATGGAAACCCACCACTAGAATGATGAAACTCCTAAGTCACTTGTTGACCCCTTATGGGTTTGCACACTTGCTTTGGCTGTTCAGATCAGACCGAGAAAATCCCCTTGGTAAGCAAAACGTCATAACAATGAACCACAGCGACAAACACAATAAAGCAACTACTAAACTACTGAAACGAAAAAGTATTGGTGTCATTGGTCATTGCAGTCTGAGGCCTTTGTGGAGCTGGCCCCGTTTACTGCTGGGTTGGTCAAAAATCAACCAGAGATTTTGTGTTCCTGGTACTCCTTGGAGAGCAGGGAAATACCTCTTCCCATGCTTTAACCAATCCTAAATCAAAATTAGCCAGGGCTTTGTATGGGAGATCCTGTAGCAGTTACTGATTTTCTCATAAATGTATGCTTTCTGTCAATTTAACCTGCTTTAACTGTACAGGAACTCCGGGCATCTCTTTTTTAAACGAGGTATTTGATAAATCCAATAAGGTTTGAAAAACATGCTAAAAAAGGTTTTCATGAGTATGCACTGGCAGATCTTCAGAATATCTCTGAGACCTTTTTCCCCCAGTGTAACAGCAGCTCTGCAGCGTGCCGGCCTGACCTGCATTTTTGACTTAACCAAATACAGATGTACTCAGTGAAGGCAAAGCTCAAAGTCCACCTCTGCTTCCGCCCCCTTCTTTGATTGGCTGGTGGAAATGGCTGAAGTTAGGGGAGGAAGAATTCTCCTCCCAGCTGTAGTTCAGTTGTCTTGATTTCTGTCTTTGTTTTCTTCACATACAACAGAAAGATGGCCTCGGCACATGACAGAGCTGTACTCCAGGCTATATTCAGCCCCACCAGCCCCTTAGGAGATGTCCCCGGCCTGAACCAAGAGGAGGAATTAATTGATGATGGTAAGCGTGAGCTTCTGACTTGATGTGTCTACACATATCATGTCACAGCTTTTTATGTTTATCATTTCATTGCATATTGAATTTATTTGAACACATTCGATTCTGTGACTAGAAAAAAACCATGACATTTTAATCCAAGTTGAGTTCTTGGTGACGTTTCTGTGTTCTCCTTGCCACGGTGCCTGTCAATTGAGTTTGAGTGCTTTTTCAACCTGTTTATCTCCCTCTGCCAGACAGTGGCTTTGACACAGAGTTGCTGAAGCAAGTGAAAGAGTTGGAGATGCGGGGTGTCTCTGCTGCAGAGGCTGGGGATTTGCAAGCTGCACTTCAAGAGTTCAGCCAGGCAATCCAGATCCTGCCTCAGCGAGCCTCAGCCTACAACAACCGGGCCCAGGCCCTGCGGCTGCTGGGGAACACAGCAGGTACATGCTACACACTCAATAATCACCCTTTCCTCAGTCACCGCAGTGCACCGACATATCACACTGTTGAGTTTGAGGATAGCGTGACATCATTTCAGAGCTGTGTCTATCTGATGCACTTTTTCAACAGTGCTACTGCAGAGGCCCTGAGTTTTCCTTGTGTTATGTTATTTTCTACATGCTGTTTGTCATATCGTCTAAACCAGAGGGTTTCACAAGGGGAAAGTGGGCATCCCCCAGGCATCTCAGAGCCTTTTATAGGAGGTGTCAGCAGAGGTGGGAAGTAGTGGAGTACAAATACTTTGTTACTGTACTTAACCCTTATGTTGTGTTCGGGTCTCCCGTGACCCGTTTCAAGTTAAAATTATATAATAACTACGCTCTAGTTTTTTATCGGAACAAGGCTTCATGATATCCTCCACAACAGCTATACTGTATAAACACTACAAAACAGATTTTCTGAAGTCTGAAGGTCTCTAAAGAAAAAGTGTATAAATTGGTGTTCGGGTCTGGGGAGACCCAGCAGAATTGTTTTGGGTGACTCGAGGTCAACTTTGGCCCAATCAAGATTCATCTTTGACTTTAGACACCCCACCCCCTTCATCTACTGTAACAATAATTGTTCGCAACATGCACCTGGTCTCCCCTCCCTCTGCCCCCTCCCCCCACGGGAAGTCGACCTTTCACAAATAATATGTACACTAACACTTGAACCTGAACGCACATATGCACGTGTGCAATATGTGGTCTAATGTGTTTTGGGCCATAACATTAAAATACAACAAGATTGTACGATTATGAATTGCATTATAAGTTAGTTATGATGTAGTTAAAACAATATTGGATGATAGTCATTTTTTTTGTGTGTTTTGGACTGAGATAAATCATGGGTCAAAATTGACCCGTGAACATCATGAATGGTAACAGCTTTTGAACACAAAAGTGACTTTTTACTTTTACTTCTTACATTTTTAACAGAAGTAGCCTACCTGTACTTTCTACTTCTTACATTTTCAAAACAGGTTGGTTACTGTACTTTAGTTTTAATCTGTGTTTGGTGGCGTGATCATTATTATTTAGAGTCATTGCGTGCCTATTGATTTTAACACGATTCGTGTATCCTTCATTAGAAGAGGGACCAATGAAAACGTTGTAATTTTGCCGCTGTTCAGCATCGAAACCTTCATTTGCTAACAATGACATTATTGTTCTATTAATATAAAGGGAGGTCAGTTACTCTATAAAACAGTTGGTAGTTATGGGTACTTAAGCCCATACTTCTTTACTTTTACTTGAGTAAAGAAGTATAGTCAGTGGGCTACTTCTACTTTTACCAGAGTATTTTTAAACACGAGTATCTGTACTTCTACTTGAGTAAAGGATGTGTTTACTTTTGCCATCTCTGGGTTTCAGTGACTGGATTGAAAATATATTAAGTTAGTTATTTCATTTTTGTTCAAAAAAAGGTCACACAATAAGCAACATTTTTGTAATTTGGTTAAAGAAATAAAAATAAAAATGCCCAAGGACAGATGTTATTACGTTTTTATTGTAGTCTGAAGTTACTGTAAATGCTCAAATATTTATTGTCAATAGGATAAAATAATAATCTTGATTCACCTCCCTTAGTTTGCTCACTTAGTTTCACCCAATTCCTGCCTATGAGATCATTGTTATATATTCTGATCCCATTGACACTCAAGTCAAGCAAAGACTTACTATTATATTATTATATCATACCACTGACAAATGTATCGGTTATAATCACTTCTCACCCCTTTTGTATGTATTGCATTATTTAACATATTTGGCACCTGTGATGATGAATGTGGTGTTTTTACACTCATGCCCTGGAGAATTAACATTTTGACTTGCATCATCTGTTTCTAAAATTGAAATTGTAGGTGATGCTTTTCAATTTGCCTGCAACCTGGTGGTTCATGCTGACTAACAAGATTTTCTGAATATTCCCAACAAAACACCTCCATGTCACTTACAATAATATGCAAAACCTGCGATATAAACTGAGCATTGGCGGAATCACTGATGTAAAACACACAGTAGCAATTTAGTGTTATATAATTAATATTATTTGAATAGTATTTATCAAAAAAGGTCACTTTGTTATACATGTAGTGAAATTACATTAGTTTTTTTCGATTAATGTAAATCATAGTGAATTTAGAATGATCATTTGAAAATAACTGTCTTATCTTACGTGTATTGGGGTTAAAGTCCCCACATGCAAGTTTTGTGAGGTTGTGCCCGTAAACTAACCTTAGGTAGGAGGACGCTCCTATCAAACAGAAAGTCAAAAGTCACTATTGTATGCTTAAGTGATTAGTAGAAATACTGAAAGGACCTTAAGTGGTGACCTTTTGACTACAGATGGGGTCCAAAACTAGTAAGCCACATGAATGTCTGGGAGCAAATTAATTGTATATGCTACACAAATCAACCCAGGATCCGTTGAATTTTCTGAATATTGGGTTGCAGATTATAATTCTCCAAAGGGGGTTCGTTTAGCATGAAACACTTGTAATAACTAAAGGATATGTTAAAAAAGAAAGTAGAAAGAAAGTGAGGACAAAGAAAACTATTTCTGCTAAAAAGTTAGCAATGATTTAGAGTCATACCTAAACATTTCAGATGTGTGTATCTCACACTGCACTTTTTATTCATGTACCTTTGTTACTCATGTTTTATTATCTTTGCTTTTTTAAATGCCCTTTTATAATGTTTCTTAATGTTCTTAATGTCTTTCATTTTTGTAAACCACTTTGAATTGCCTTGTGTTGAAAGGTGCTATGTAAATAATCTTGCCTTATTGCCTTGCCTTGCCTTATCTGACTACATACTTACAATACTTAAAGTAATTCAAAACAAATTCAGCTGGATTCAGAATGAATATTGCAGCAGACCCAGAATGAGAGCAGTCTGTAAGATGTTACGTTTTGGGGATCAACAGTGGAGACGTGTGTGTGCCTCACAGTGCCCTCCTCTCTTCTCAGGAGCTCTGGGGGACCTGGACCGAGCCATCTCTCTGAGCGGCAGCACTGGACGGACGTCCTGCCAGGCGCTGGTGCAGAGAGGCCTCCTACGTCGGTTGGACTGCCAGAATGATGAAGCCAGGGCAGATTTCGAAAAAGCGGCTGCACTTGGAAGTGAATTTGCTCGACAACAGGCTGTGGTTCTCAATCCCTATGCAGCCCTGTGCAACAAAATGCTTTCAGAGGTGATTGACAAACTACGAAACCCTCAAGTGTCTGGGACTCTATAGTTATTGGAGACAATGTGTTTGGTGTACACGTTTTTTGATTAATAAAAGAACATTTTACAGTTTATATTTATTTTTTATTCCACTCTATGTATGCTGCTGAAAAGAAAAATGAGGCCAACTGCAAGTCAGAATTATTAATGTCAGGGTCACATTCTCATTTTACTTAAAAGACAGTCAACATTATAAACAAAGTTGTCAGTGTCCTCATCACAGCCCATGTGATGTTATGCCTCATTAAATATGATATAGAGGACTTGTGATGTTGTGTTAAGCATTCAGATGCGAAGCCTGATTATGATGTGTCATGTGTCAATGATCCTAACAGAGGATGCACCTCTGTGTCTCTCCAGCAGATGTCAGTCTTGTCATGTTGGAAACAGTCAACAACAGCTCCCCCGTGTCTTTCAAACAATGCTTTCAACACAAGACTGAAATAGGATGGAACAAACAACATCAGTCCACTCAGGATGCCAAACATATCTCAAACAATTATGAAATAAGTGTCTTCAGAGGGTTCATTTAGGCGTAAAAACACTGGATGAATAGATATTAAACAATGTTTCCTACTTACATGCACAATGACTTAGAGGTTAAGTCAATCACATCAAAATCCTCAGAAATTCAGTCCATGCCCAAATGAATTATTTGCAATACAATTCAGTTCATGTCTGCAGGGCTAAAGCACACTGCAGCACAGCATTCCCTTTTGTTGCTCTACAGTAGCTGTATATTTGGAGGACAAGTAACACTGCTGAGTGATTCTAAACGCGGCATCACTCGTGTTGTGGTTCGCCCACTGAGCTATGGGACTATGAGCATTATCTTTTATGCTTTGCTTCTCTGTGCTTGTCGCTGACCTCTCCCAGGCAAACTAAAGCCACCGGCTCAGTGTGCTCCTCTCTCTGGTAAAAGGTGCAGGTTTTCAGGTGATCTGACATGGAGGGATTGTTGCTGAAGCTCCATCTGTCCACAGAGGAAAACAGAGAGCTAAACTCCCACACCTGTAAAACAGAGAGACAGAGCTGGAGTTAGTGTAGGAGGCAGCTGTCAAAGCATATATCCATGAGCAATGGCCATGAGACAACATTTATTTCAATACCTTTGGAATCTTAATCTCGGAGTATTTTGATCACATAGGCATGATGTTATTTGTGTTACCATGCATTGCAAATGTATACAAATGATGCCCTTCATTTGGGGAGCAAACACCCAGCTGTTGCCAACAGAGTATCATCAATATCTTGTTGCCATGGATGATCACATCTGATGGCAACGTTGTGTTTACTGGCAGCCAGCCTCGGCCATTCCAAATGGCTGATATCATCGGCACGCTGTTTGTTCCCTGAGTACTGCGCTACAGAGAGTCAATGTGAAAATACACACCTAAGCATTTCTACTATATTTATCCTTCATTACCTCAAGTAGATAGGGTATTATTTTCCCTACAAATGTAGGTTTTTTGTTGTTAGCTCGATAAAAGACTACTATACAGATACAAATGTTGCAAAGGTAACCAGTGAGCAAAAGATGAATTGGTTTGGTTAAGCGTAACTTTAGGGCCTATATTAAGGCTCTTTGGTTTAGAATGCAACAACAATGTTTTTATCCAATCCAAACTGGTACATGTAATATTTGAAAGAGCAGTCAAATGTGCTGTGTTGTTTTCATATGTTTTCCGAGTTGCCAAATACTTCAGACTGGAATAATTATTTCATTTAGAAGTACTTCAATCACAAAGTAACCATCTATATAAGACAATCCAGCGATGACACTTGGAATTCTTGGAGAAAAAAAAATTGTTTGACAAAGTAAATTTAGGGCGTGTTTATTAATAGCATGATCGATCAAAACCTCCATCTATAATCTCTCGAGATATATTCCAAGTCTCATTTGTTCAGTAGCTTACTACTTCCAAAACACTTCAGACTAGCACAGATGCGTTGTGTGCCTTTATGAATGTGTGCACTTGAGTTTAAACAGATGTTTTGACATATTTTGGCTGTTGTTTAGTGTAACCCAATTTCCTTCAATATGTAAAGACTTGATGTATTTAACTGTCCAGTAGTCATGAGTCTAAAGAATTTAAAGTCTCATCCTGATACAGTAAGCACTCATAATTCCAGAAGGGATTTAGATAATCAGCTGGGGACGTCCTCAAGGCTCAGACCGCGAGACCACCAGGCGTCCCTGTGGACTTGAGGCCTAAGCCATGGGGTATAAAGTCTAGCTCAGGTGTAATGCAAACATCTATAAACATTTACCTACCACCTATAGAGCTGCTGTTCATTTGTTTGATATTTGAGCTGTTGATAATACCACGCATTGCAAAGCTTAATAATAATTTTGCTCACCTGTCTTGTTGCTAAAACATTGCTTCGACCCAAGAAAATGAAATTTATTTTTCCGAAACACTTCCCCACGGTGCCTGACCCCACATGCAGCTGGTTTATGATAAGGACACAGACAATCGTAGCGACTCTCCAGTGGCTGCTTCAGTGGAAAGCCATTAACTGTTGCCAACACGGCTGTGAGTCAGTTTGTAATATTGTTAGAGAGGACTATGGAGGGTCTGGAGAGTCTTTACAATGCAGCAGCTGTCAGGACAGTAAATAGCACAGTGCCAGATACTAAAGGGGAACTGATATTAAAGTTTGGCCTCCTGCTAACTAAACTTTCCATTACCATTGTACAAGTTTTAGATCAAAGTTATATATGAGATATATAGGACTGGTAGCACTCAAAGTATGGCGATATAACCGTCACATATGTGGCCATATACCCTAACCCTCACCCCCAACATCTTATATTAAGACAACGCTATACAAATCATCTGCAGTTCAATTTAAGGAAAGACTGATTGGTTTCAGCGAGAAGTCCAAAGTAGTGCATTTCAGAAAAGAAAAGAAAAAAGGAATCTTAAGGGTACTTGCTTTCTTTCGGCATTTCCAGGAGCTTCCCCCATGGGAATATATCTTTTTCTTCCACTTAAGGGAGACCATCCCCCTCTCCTGCAACAATGTGGCACACACCCCTCTCATCAGATGGGAGACCTGGGACAGCTGAGATAATGTAAAACTGTCAAGGTAACCAGCAATGTGCTGAAGTATCTCCAGAGGAAGGCTGCTCAGGGGATCTTGATTATGTGAAGCATTTCTCTGAGGGCTGAAGGTTTTCCCATCTTCACAAAGCAATGAGGGGACATCTGGCTGGAGGACAAAGGCGCTGACATCTTGACAGAATTTAACCGTAGCTTGAAGACCAGCGGGGTGAAACCTGGTCTGGGTGAAATGACAGCCTAGGTATGCTAGGGGGCAGCGTTGTTGGAACCAACCACTTATTGAGGCCTGTATGTCGGAGTGTACATTCCTAAAGTGAGAGCTGTATTCATCACGGCGAAAGAAGTGGCCACACATGTAGCTGAAGGCTGAACTTGCTTTATTGTGTCTTCTGGTGATAGATTCTGATTCAACTTGTACACAGAGACCATGAGGTTTGTCTGCAACAACATCAGCTAGCGTTGCATCATGTTTGAAGGGGGAAGAGGCAAAGTTGTACGTTTGTGTTCCTATATCTACGTAAAAACCGTCCCTCCCCGCACTCTCTGAGATTAAATGTCCTTTCAGTTCCTTTTCCAGGGAGTGCAGGAGTGTGGCGCTAATCTCGTCACACTTTGGCAGATCCTCGATTGACACGCCTAAATCTGCTGTGTCAACACCGACATTCATCTTCACCTTCTGTCTGGAGTCCCTCAGATAATCACGCTTTGCCCGATAACTGGTAGGAACATTAAATGTGCGGACGGTTTTAACCTCAATGGGCTCCAATTTCCCATAAACAAAATCATTTTCTCTCGGGGTGCAAGCAGGGAGTTGACCAAAGTTGATCAACATTGCCCCATTTTGCACCAGATACCTATTATATTCGGCATTGTTGACTTCTCTACCTAACCTTTCAAGGACCCCGTCTTCCCATGGCGCAAAGCCAGCTACACCATCCATGGTTTGAGAGGCAGACGCATTTTCTTGGCGCGGTTGTGAGTCTCTTGTCTTCCCTTGACAGTTTGAGGATTCATGCTCTTCCTTTGCATTTCCCTTTCCTTCCTTCTTTTTCAGGTTTTTCATAGTTTGCTTGCATCCCCCCTCCTCCTTGTTGAATACTTTCTCCCAGGAGCTGTAGTTCTGAATACCATCGACATCTCTGGTCTTTGCCAAAGCATCCAACTCCTCTTGGCTCAGTTCTTCCTCCATCCTTGTACAGCCATTTTCCTGGAAAGCACCTACATCTAAAGAGCACATAGCTTCACCTGCAGGACTGTTGATCCCAGCAGCACCATCCTCCTCCATCAACTCAGGAAAAACGTTCTTCATTTTGATGGATCGAAACAGCAGCTCTTGGTCCCTGAGAGCCATAGCAACATCAAGGTTTCTCTCAGTTTGATGGTTTTCTGAAACATTTCTGTAGAAGGCTAGATCATTTTCTGAAACAGGCCAGCGGTTCCACTCCTGAGAGCAGCAGACCACGCTGGCAGGACAGACCTCCAGGTGTTTGGATAGCCTGTGGTGCAGCATGGTAAGAGGACAGCCATAGTTAACATTGAGGCAGGGGACCATCTCATTTGGACATAGGAGTTTGTGCTCCTCTTCCTTGCACATATGGAAGGTTGCGCTACAGTTTTTACGACACTTGATGACCTTGCATGAGACACAGATCAGCACCGGGAATTGACAGTGGACATCATAGCACTTGTCACAATGCCTATGATAATCCACTGTTATTGTTTTGCTCTTCACCTGCAGAGATAAATAGCATAGAAGGTGACATTTCTAGGTTTATATTAAGGCTTAAAATACTTAAAGTAACAAACGTTAAACAGTTTCAATTATTATGATAATTACAATTTATAATATACATTCATTTCTGATGACAAATAATAAATGCACTCACCATTGTGGCTTATATACACAATGGTCCTCTGAGAAGAGTTTCAAGCCTGTTAGAGAACATGCAACTGTTTTGTTATACAGCACTATGAATCATCTTCTAAGGATGTATATATATATGTGT